TAATCTTTTACCCGCAACCATAGAGGTGTAGGAAAGTGCCGCTTTGAATCCTCGGCCTCTGGGGTGTACTGAACATCACATCTTCCAGTGCATTCCCGGATCTGCTTAAGACTTGAGCAGTACCGTATTCCCCCGCACCGTATCCTTCTCGGTCCAGCTGTTCTCTGATGGCTTGTCTAGTATGACCCGCGACCCAGAACATACATTATCCGCTATGCTAACATCGCCGCCTGCCACTATTACGTAGCTATCTTAGCTGTTCTCAGGAAGTTATTGTTACACTACAGCCATGTACGGTAAGTTGCAGGTCCCAGACATTCCAAACTAACACCAACTTGGCATCGTGCCAAATCAAAAAACAGATTTGTACTAACCTGAACCACTGGGGATGTAGTAAGCGCCGTCGGCGTTTTTATGAAGTACCGTCTGGCCTTCTGCCAACGACGTCCAGTCGTCCAATGACGGCGCTAATGGCTCTCGCATCGCAGATCTCCGCTGAAACGGGAAATTTTTCAGAAAAATTCACTTTTGCTTCCGCAAACAGGAAGTTTACTTCATTCTGACGTTCGTAAGAAAATATTATTCTGCTGTCAAAAAAGAAAAAGAAAAAAGCGAAAAAGTGAAGAAAATAGAAAAGATAAAGAAAAAAGAGGATTAATTATGAAGGACTCTCCGTTTGGAAGCGTTCAAAAAATTCCCTTTCACATGAATAAAGCAAAAAAAACATGAAAGAACTGAGCCATTACTCCCATGAGAAAAATCGATTCATTCCGTTCAGGCCCCATTTGCAAGGGTTATCTCTTTGAAAAAGCTGTGCTGCAAAGGCGTCACATAGCCGGGTAACATTTTTTCCAAATCGGGATCGGTTTGTCCTAGGCACAGATAAACGATGAACCAATAAAAATCGCCATAAAAAACGAGGCTCAAGGTCGATCTGCCGTCACACGTCAACCCTCATGCCGGATGTGACTTGTGTATCCAGGTCCCTGGGACAGGATTCTCTAACAATCCATACACTGGCCAGGGTAAAGACACAGTGCTCAATTCAGTTATGGACCTAACTATAAGTGATAGCCGGTAAAGGTAGATCGGAAAAATGGCAGAACAGACCATTTTAGGGAAGTGAACTATAGGCAAACACTTCGTCCCAGTTGGGACTCGAACCCGGACCTTGTGTATTTCGGGCAGAAACTAACCTAAGCTCTACACCCGAAATACGAGAAGAAAACAACACAGCACTGCAGAAAACAAAAATAGGGATACGCCAGAAGATAAACATCCAAAATTCAAGAAGGATATTTCAGCATAAGTTACGAAAAAAAAACGAAATAAAAGGTAAGATACAAAACCGAAATATAGGTAGGTGATAGATGGTAAGAAAATAGTCCTTACTGGTAACCCACTGCTCAGGGCCAAGACATAATTGAATAACCTTTTTTTGAATGAGTCAAATGAAGTGAGTTTCGGAACAAAAATTGGAAAACCGCAGGTTTCAAATAAGCTTCTAATTGACTTCATGACGAAAAGAGGAAATATTCCTTTATTGAGCCAATTCCCACATCTTTGGCTTCATAGAAGTGGAAAGGCAAAGAATAAGGGAAACCTTCACAACATGATTATATATAGATCACCTGAATTAAGGTACCTTTTCAGAAAAAGAACCCTTCTAGAAAAATAGCAAGAAAAAGCACGCTAAAAAGCAGCTAACTACTCCCAAAGCTCTAGTGAGTCATTCAAATGAGCTTCATCACCCCGCATTGAGGTGAAGCACTCTAAACTGGTGGGGGGTGGTTTTGGAGGCAAGAAAAGGAAGACATCTAATGGACAGGAAACTTGATCCGAGCAGAAACCCTCAAAGCACTCGATATGCAGTTTTTGAAGCTGAGTAGGGGAAAGCGGAATTCGCCTAAATGAACACAAGTCGATGTTCTGACACGCTAGCACTCATCGATCTAGAAGGAGCTACAGAAGCGGCCAAAAAATAGTTTGGACGGTCTCTCGCGTATATCTATTCGTTCCCTTTTCAGGAAGAAAATCTGACAAAAACCTGAAACAAATGTGACTAAAAATTTTGCTTTCCATTTCTCAGAGACATAGAGAAATACTCTTAAAACTGACAAAATGACATAATTTGTCGCCAAGTTTGATTAAATCTAAGTGGAAACGAGGGACCGGAAAACAAATCCAGCGATATTTTGAGCTCTATATATCAGAAGCCATTCCCTGATAAAAATCACTCCAAAGGCGCAATAGCAGCTGAAGCCTTAAAAGAGCCCCAAATCCGCACGAACTCCTCAAGCGTTTGTATATAATTACAAGGAAAAAATTCTCTGACAGGCAACCTAGCTAAAAAGGAACTTAAAAAGGATATAAGAGTGTTCGGACCTAGAAGGGCTTGTTCAAAAGTTTCTTGTTTTTTCAGCCTTTGACGAAAGCCAAGAGGCTGAAACATGAGCCTAATAAAGTGCTGTAACCTTGGAGATGCTTTAACAACTATTCACTTCAATATTCCCATGTCAAGATTAAGAGAAACTCGTTTTTGACACCAAGAATAGTTTCACTAAGCTCCCCTTAGCTTGAAAATGTATATGAGTCAGAAAAAAAAACTTAAAGGCAGTGAACACGAGCTGGGATAAAGTATGATACGTATTAGACATTCTTGGGGGTTAGACCTTAAGCACTTGTCGATGTGTTGGGTCATCACCCGACGTAAGCAAACCAGCCCTTTTGGCGCTTCGGCTGGGACCGTATGCTGAATGTTGGGGAGGGGATGGAGTCCCCGACGGTGGACGGACCACTTCAACTCGGTCCTTAGAACCGCCACAATTTGGTGCTTACCTCAGAACTAAGCCTTAAAGAGAGGACGGGTCCGTCCCCTCTCCAAGGCTTAGTCCTGGGGTGAGCAAACCAGCCCTTCTGGCGGAGCTGCTGGACCAGCTGCACCACTTGCGTCAGTACTCTCCTATCGTACCAACCGAGTTGAAGTAAACCGTCGACCGTTGGGGACCCCATCCCCTCCCCAACATTCAGCATACGGTCCCAGCCGAAACGCCAAAAGGGCTGGTTTGCTTACCTCTCATCCCCAAACCGTTTCCCAATGACTCCCAATTGAATGTTCTTCAAACCACTTCACCCTCCAGCCATCTTGCTCACCGCCTTTGAAAGGTAGCGAGAAGGATGATTTTGATGTGCAGATAAAAACCTCGACAAGTCGGGCAAAGCCACCACTCACCAATATATCAAAGCAAAATTGAACAATCTTTTCTAATGGAAAAAACTGTAAGAACTATTGAAAAAATTACGATACCATCGAATAAAAATATGAATATAACGACAAATGGATTGAAAAACAGTAAGAGTGAAATATAATTATCAAATAATAAAAATAACAATTCCCTAAATCAAGTATCAACAAAAAATACGAATTACGGTCAGAAAGCCTTGCTCAAAGCCAGAGCATTTCGAGTATACTCAACACGAACATCCGTTCTGACCCCGCGGGCAAAGCTTCCCGAAAATCAGCACTGTACCCTAATTATAAATAAAAAACTAACAAAACAAAGTCAAGGACACACAACCTGCTGCGACAGTGACATCTCGTACGATTTAATTAGCGAAGGTGCCTCGTGCTGAGTCATAAGTCCGAGTGATGAGAGCTCTGAAAGACCGATTGTAGTTGCCGTGGTCGTCATTGTCGGGGACGTAGTCTGACTCAGACCCAACAAAAACCACCCCTTAGACCCTTACATCAAAGCGGCGCGTTGTCGGCCGCCACATGGGCTATATAAGACTAGGCACGTAGACGCAGTTTTCAAGCGCACTTACGNCAAATTTTACCCCCTTGTAAAATTCTCTTCCTCGAAATTCGTAGCACAAGGGTTTTTACCCTCTGTAGTTGCTCTAATCACNGTAATGTGAATTTCCCAGAATGACAGTTCTAAATTGAGCATAAAAATGTTGATCATAAGAGACCTAACATATAGGTAAACGCTAACACCAAAGCTTTTGTCTTTCATCAATAAATGGGCGTGTCCCTAGGACGAAGGACATTCAAGTGGCATTTAAAAAACCGCTGGTACTAGACCTAAGCCTCAAGGGAAGCGGAGAGACGCCAGGGATAATAAAAATGTCAGCCATCTTCTTCCAGAACCCTTCTACTCCTCAAGCCCAGTCCGCAACACTGGGTTTACTCACTCACTTCGATTCCATGATGTCCTCACCCCCCCCCCCCTTCATTCAACGACCTGACCGCCATTCTTATTATCTACAAAGGTTCTCCCAACAACACTGTCGAATGCCCTGATTGACCAGCAGCAAGTATAGATCTATACTGGTTAGCATATGACTATCAGAATCGAGAATCAGCAGTTGAATTACGCTCACCTCTTTCTCGAATGTTCTCCGGATCTTCATAGTTATTCTCATAATCGTGTCCCGATCGGGTGGATGTGGCGGCATCCATGCCGGCGGAGGTCCACGCATCTCAACTGGAGTGCACTCGGACGGATGAGGTAATTTTGACGTACCTGAAACACTTACAATTGCACAGTAGCCTTTCAAAATACCGAATATTCATCTCGGATGATTTCCGCAAAAAAAATAAACATCACATGAAAAAATATTCATAGGGACAGTTGAGTAGGTCCAAGTTTCACAGGATTGGTCCAACAAATCAACGTGGGCCTCAACTTTTCAGCAGGACACAATTCCAAGGCTGCGACTTGTTAGGGGATATGCAATGAGAAGAACAAGGCTTTAAGAGATTAGAAGATTAGGTTGCCCTTTTCTTCAGTCTAAATGTAACGTTGGATTGGTCGAACGGAATGAAAAAAAAAACTTTAGAGAAAAGAGTACAGTTCGTGAAGCCCCCGAATGACAGTATAAAATTCAGAGCTTTATAAACAATTGGGGAAGATCAACTTCCCATAAGAAAAAAAGTTTAAAAAAAATCCTGGGAATTTTGCGCGCTGCAATCGGTGAAAAAAAGTGGTCAATATAACGGCCCTTGACGAGCAATATCTGACCGGGTGTTGATACTTGTGGCCGCTTGCTCGCGTAACAAAGAGGCGACGATGAACACACAGTTCCGGGGGTCCCGCCCCCAACCCTCGTCGGTCGGTCGCGGTGTTGAGGTCGTTAAGAGGGTATCGCTGACCTGTTATTACTACAGTGCAGCTGCATATTAAGACCCGACTCGGTCAACTCCTACACTGAAATCCGATCTTTACCGACGCCAACAAGCGTACATACTTACAAACAAGATAATACGAGCCTTCGACAAGTATCACTGAATATCACTTAAGTCTTCCACGGACCATGGACCAGTGGGCGGGACCGGAAGTTTTTGTGACGAAATGCATGGTAGGTACGGATCCACGTGTCGAACGCACGAACGTGAACAGGATTCACTTCAAACCTTCCCATGAACGTGGATCCGTACCTACCATGCATTTCGTCGCAAAACCACTTCCGGTCCCGCCCACTGGTCCATGGTCCGTGGAAGATTCCTTTAAGAACATCGCTTTTTTCATAAGCAATGAAGCTAGCCTCCTGTACACATCCACACCAACTACTAAGCAACCTCAAGAGAAAACAAAAACGATGGCTAATTTTGCGAATGTCAGCTTTAAAAAAATGTAAGAATCATTTAAGATAAAATCATATATTCTCCTATTCTCACAAACGCTTTTTCCAGGCCCGTGACGAGGGGGGGGTGCGCGAAAGGCGGTCAGAGAGGAAAGAAAGCGTCACGAAGCACAAACGCATCAAAATTTCTATCCAACCACATTCAAACCCTCAAAACTGACCCTCTGATACGCATCCTCCTCAAAACAAGGTGAACGAATCCTTATGCGGCGATTCTTCAAGGGCAGCCGTGACGAATAGTTTTCCAAGAAGGTTCCAGACAGAAACGTGGTGGTACCATGGTACGCCCAGTGCGAAAAAAAGCGAGAAAGAGTCGCAAGAAAACAAAAGGGACCCCTATTTTGACCGTTTTCCCTCGTGAACAGGTAACAGCTCAGGAAGCGGATGTATGAACGAGTTCATCGCCATGCGCTTGGCGGCACCATAATACGAAACAAAGCAACGCGTTTGGTAGGCACCATGCCAAACCACGCTCAATCGAGTTGCTCCAGTTGTGCCGCTGCTGGCAACGCAGCTCGTCCAAATCACCAAGTAAACTAGTGGGCGGATCGCTTTTGGGGCGGAGTGCTTTCGAAGTCTGCTCAGCAACCAGCGCACCTTTCGTGTGAAAGCGCCACACCTCGCTTCCCTGGCAGCCAAGTAACTGATTCGTGTGGTGCATATGCTTCCCCGATGCGCTCCCTCTTTATCGTAATCGCTGCCTTTAACGTACGCTTAACCTCAGTTCCAAATAATGTCAGTGAACCTGGTCCCTTCACTTCGAAGTCTTTCTTCAGAAGCTGCTTCAGGTTTTTGAGGGCGCAAAATCATCATTAAAGGCTGCTTCAGCGCACCTCCACACCAGCTTTCGGCCAATATTCTGTCATGGCATTTTATTGACCACCTAATAAGGTGCTTGGTAACGCTTCAATGGCGAATACGGTCACTACGATGGTTATCGTAGTGCCGCTATGACGCAACGCTATGATAGCGTAAGGGTCGCCAGCAATTCGTCGCCGATCATGTGACTGTCAATCACAGCGCGAACATAAAACCAATTTTCAACAAATTTGAACGAAATTATTGACTGGCCGAACGCGATCATTTTTAGCACTCGAAAACACACAAAATTACCTGAACATGTGAGATCATAAGCTAAATAAAAATAAGTAAACAACCTCCACAAATCAATAATAACTCAACTACCAATGGATGGCTGCGGTATTTCAAGCTTAGAAAATATTCCTCGAGTGGTTCCAAACTTTATCTGGTCATATAGACTTTTAACGCCTCCCAAAATTTCCAAACAAGAAACCGCAACCAGAAAAAAACACTCAAGAAATGAAAATTGGCTCGTTTCGCCTCATTCTCAGATAAATGCGTCATTTCTAAGTTATACCGATATTTTTCTAATACTATTTATTACCTGAATATTATAGTCAACATTGAAAAAAGTGAAATTGTATAGAAAATAAGGATGGTAAATAATATATTTATCAAGTCTATAGAAAAATAATAAAAATTGCTACCTTTTACGACCATGTAAACAAATCACTTGCTATGTTTGCAAATAACTTAGTCCTTATCTCAATAGTAAAGAACATCTGCCAAATATGGTGGCTACAAATGACGCAACCAATCGACCTCCTACTAGAAGTAATTATTCGTTATCGACTGCTGATAAACTAGTTAGTCGATAAATATCAAATAAATAAATAAGTAAATAAATAAAACAAATAAATGTAGATAAATAAAAAAATAAACTTGTGTCGTTTTAACATTGTAAAAATCCTGCGCTATCGCAAGACGGGGGACATCCTTAAAGCAACAGTTCAGGAACGGTTTCGCGGGAAAAAACCACCAATAATGAAGTTGTAGATGAAAACCAGACGATTAATGTATGAAAAACTGGAAAAAAACGTCGGGGAGGGTCTTAGACAGGTACTCTCCCTCTGCCGCTCAGCAATGGATAAAGACGCACGTTGGACGAGTTGTCTGAACGTGCCCGCTGTAAACGCGCTCCATTTTTCAATCAATTTTCCCTGTGGTCCCAAAACGAGCACGATTGCCGACGCGTCCAATGACGGCCGGCAAGGGGGCGGGATTGGGGAAATCCCCAAGAACACCCATGTTTGAGGGACTTTCCACCCTGTTTTTGAGTTTCTGAGGTAAGTTCGTTTATTATTTCCACTGCATATGTTCTTCACTAGGGCTCGTGTATCCCTCAGTAGTAGTGGCATTGAAATTTTCGGACCCTCCCTGAACTGTTGCTTTAAACGAGTTTAAGACGTAAGAACTTGGAAAATGAAGTTATTACGACTCCTGGAGCCTCTTCACCCCTTCCTGAGACTTAGTCACCATTTCAAAAAGAAAAGGACGTTTTAGGGGTTTTCAAATACATCACTGCCCCCGTATCTTGCGATAGCGCTAAAAATCCTTTCAGTCTCCCAACTATACCACTCTAACACACTTTGCTAGCATTGCTGTCATGATGTAGCACGTTCTTCGGTTACAATAAGCAGACAAGTAAACAATGTAATAAATTCAAACATCAGTAAATCTCAGAAATGAGCAAACTCCCGTTGAAAATTGCCAAAAATGCTTTTCGTGCCAGAGAGAAAAAATTATCAAAGGCGGGAGTTCTTCTGAGAATTGTTATTTCATGTCAACGCAGTGGATTTCCGAGTATAGTATGGTATTAAGAAATTGATTGGGTGTGAGCTAATTGGGTGAGAACCCTGGAAGACCAGCGCAACACAACTAGTGCAGGCTTTTATAGGATATTCCGGCAGCGAGACATGATGGGCACGGCGCTGACCGGCCGCAGGTATGGGCCGTTCGAGGTTCCTTCCCCCTCTCGCAGCGTATATTTCAACTAATCATTTTTGGGAAACAAATCCAAAGAAAGTTCTCAGCGCTTTGAGATTCTGGTTCAATCACTGATGGAGGACATGTGATTCATTCAAGCTATTCAAAAGTACGCGTGAAAAAAGAGGCCGTGTGACGAACAAAAACTTGAAAAAACAGTGTTTAAAATATTCAAGAACCAAAACAAACCAAACAAATGAAACAATTTCATTGGCAATGAGTAATGTGATTCTGTGCTGAGCGGGAACGGGAACGGATTCTAAGAAGAAGAAATTCATGAAAACTGCCAATGTGCTACTCTTTTTTGCCATTTCATCCATCGAACACCTCAATTCAAGGTCAGCAACCTACTCAGCGAGGGAATGCTACCTATCATTCGGATCCACTTCAAAAAATAGGTGGGTATTCATTCCAGTAGAAGCACAACTAGACAGCACTTTAAGAAGAGAAAATTCTCCAGAAAGAAAACTATAAAAAACTGATATGTCGACAAAGTATTGAGGAAGGAGGACTCTGTAAGCCCAATTGAAGTAGCACCTCAGCAGAAATGTATTCATATGCGCTAGCCAGTGTTTAGAAGTCGGTAATTAACTTTCTTTTGTTCTGTTTTTTGAGGAAATCTCACGAACACGAACAATTCTGCTGCCAAGCCAGAACAATAATTTTGACGTGCTGACCAGCGGTAAACTGGTTAGCAAACCCAGATTTGAATATCTACCTTTTCCTGCGTCTACCGCTCAGAAAGCAGCTCTTTTGTAAGCTGCTTCATCAATCGCCCAAATACCAAATCCTCACAATGGGACCGGCTATCAATTTTGTTTTATTTTATTTTATTTATTCGAAAAAAAAACTTGCTTCGCTTCACTACCTTTGAACTTTACTGGTGCTGAAATCCAGCCACAGTCAACAACTTATTCTGCATGATTAGAATTCGTACAAACTGATTCCAGAGCACATTTATAACGCCCCTATGAACCTCGTCTTGAGCG